CGCTAGCTCAAGGCCCTTTGACGCTCTTTAAGGCCTTCTGAGGGCCCCTTGAGGTCTTCTAAGGGCCCCTTGAGGCTTTTTGAGGGCCGCTTGACGCCAACTGAGGACCGTTTGAGGCCTTCTGATGGCCATTTGGCGCCAGCTGGGGGCCATCTGGCACCAGCTGGGGGCCCTCTGTCACCAGCTAAGGACCCTTTAGAGCAGTGGTCGGCAGGTCGTTCGGGGTCGTGCCCCCTTTTTGGGCGCCAGGCAGGGCCATTACCCCCACCTACCAGACCCCATTGCTGACACAACTAAGTTTACTGAAATTTCATACCGTCCTGGAACTCTTTGGGTATTTGTGCATTTCCAATGCATCAAATTTAAAACATGACACTTCCTCCACAAAACATTTAATGCCTATATCCCAGTAGCGGCGGAACACCTCCAATTAAGGGGGAGGGGGAGCACTGCCGACTTTTGGTCCCATTCTTTCCATGCAACGCCCATAGGGCTAATGTTAAAATGCAAAAATCAAAGGGTGCACGGTGCCCCGGTGCCCTCCCCGTTCCGCCGCCTATGCTATATCCCATTAACCCTTGTACGTATAGGGGCGGCGGGTGGTTTTTCGTTAAAAGCTCACGTAAAAGGCATTGGATCACGACCAAATTGTACCCTCGAGCCCATCATTTTTTTTTTCGACAGCCCGGAAAATATCATGACCTGAGACCAGTTTTACCAACAGAAAAATAACCGCCTGCCGGAATTTTTGCCTCAAGACCGCTTCACATACGGAGCGTAAACGCGATGGGCTCGTAAGCGGATAGGGCTTTACCGTTTACGCTCCATATGTGAAACGATCTTTAAGCAAAAATTCCGGCAGGCGGCTGTTTTTCTGTTGGTAAAACTGGAATCTGGACCCATAATGACCGTTGGCTTATGAGCTTTTTCTGGAGATCATCTTGAGCCATAAAATCTCACTTCAAGAAGTTATAGCGGGTCCCGATTTTCTCGACACTTATCATTGCCCTCTTGAATGAGACGGAATGACCAAAGACCTTAAAAATGGGCAGCAGCGGCTTCCTATGGTTACGGGTAGTACGCTCGTCTTTTTTATGCACAGCTCCATATCAGAGTCCGAGAGGCCGCGGGGGTCCGATCGACTCCTCCCCCTTACGTTAGCGGCTGTTGAAACGCCAACAGACGGGCGACGGTTAAAAGTTGCAGCTGCTTTTGAACGACTGTACGGAGGGGTGAGATGGTGAGGCGAGCAGGTACGTGAAAATTGGTATCTAATCAATGTGTGCTGTGCCTTTGGCCTGGGCTAATCTTTGAACCCTGGGATGCAACAGTCACGATGGCTCCATCACTGGAGCTACAAACTCTAAAAAGATAGGCTTTCTCAGAATCCCTCATTACCCCCACCGAAAGGGCTCCATTACCCCCAAAGGGGGCATGCCCCACCATTTGCCGACCCCTGCTTAGAGCATTCGGAGAGCCATTTGACGCAAGGGCATGGCCCTCTGACGCCAGCTCAGGGACCTTTGACACCCTTTAAGGCCTTCTGACGTCCGTTTGACGTTAGCTGAGGGCCCTTTGAGGCTATCTGAGGGCCCTTTAAGGCCATCTGAGAGTCCTTTGAGGTCATCTGAGGGCTCCTTAAGGCCATCTGAGGGCCCTTTGACACCATCTAAGGGCCCTTTGACACCAGATGAGGGCCCTATGACGCTAACTGAGGGCCCTTCGAGGCCATCTGAGGGCCTTTTGAGACCATCTGAGGGCCCTTTAAGGCCATTTGAGGGCCCGTTGTACACGGTCTTCGGTGGTCTAAGGATTAGTTAGAGGTCCATTTGAGGCGGCCTTCGGCCGCCTCAAATGGGCCCCTTCCTTCGAGTTGGGCCCCCCAACTCGAATGGGGGGGGGCACGGGCCCGTGTGCCCCCCCTTGTGTGCGCCCTTGACGTCATTGGCCAACTTTTAGCGAACAAACAGCGAACAGTTGGCGGTCGTTCATGAACTGTCCGCGAACACGGTAAAAATGCGGTTGACTAGACCCTGTAGCCGTTTCGCTCCTATTCGAGCTAAGCCTTTGCAGAAAAAGCGAGAGTGTGCGTCGTTGCGAGACACATCAACTGGTATCCGATTTTAAGGTCTTAGGCCAGCCGGTGACCCCTAATGTCTGGTCAAGTGTCCCAAACTAGTTATTTAGTTTTGGCAAACAGCTTCGCCACAAATGGTGGCACAGCCGCTGTGGTACTTAGTACTTACCATCGTTCTCTTCGTGGCCAGACGCGTCTAATGATGTACTTACTTTATGTTTGGATTGGGTACAGAGGCGGATCCAGCTCAGAGGTTTGGGGGGGGGCAAACCATAAAAATTTATCGATTCTTTCCATGCATCGCCCATAGGCGTAATGTTAAAATCATGCCGTTTGGGGGGGGGCAAATGCCCATTTTGCCCCCCCCCCCCTGGATCCGCCACTGATTGGGTAACTTCAAAATGTTGACCTCAGGTCAAGGTCTGATCAAAGGCACTCCGGTTAAGTTGCATGGATGATGCCACACTGCATATCATTCGCTTTGACAGTTCTTTCTCAGCCATTGAAGGCTCAACCGACTCGCTAGCTCAATTTGATCGAGAGTTATTATAGTTCGTTTTTTTTTTCAAAAGGACGCTGGCTCAAAGTTCAATATCGAAGCTCTCACGTGAGTTTTGGCAGCTTGAGTGTCTGGCGAAGAATTTCTTACCGAAAAAATAACCGATTTCAAATTGTGCACGGTAAGTAGCTGGAAATTGTTTCTTAAAAATGAACATACTATGATGACGTCAATGGTGGCAGCAGGCACCCAAATGTCCGTGCAATGGGACAAGTGTCAACGAATTTGGGCGAAACTTAGTTTTTCACTGTTGTCGAGCTTATAATCGAGTAAGCAGTTCCGTCCATGATAGTTACCAGTAAAACGCCTTTTGGGCGAAGGACGAGCGAGCGAGATAGCGAGCCCTGCACGTGCGGAAGGGCGAGAGGGTACTTCCAACGGACTTGTGCAAAGCACCGTTCTAACCGGTCGCTAGCGGTGTGCCAAATTTGAACGCAATCAGCCCAGCCGTTTCTGAGATCTGGAAGCGGCATTCTGCACGTGCGCACGTGCAAACGGGGTCCAAACTGACTTTTGCACGGCACCCTCCTAACCGGTCCCCAACCGTGTACCAAATTTGAGCGCAATCGGCCCAGCCGTTCTCGAGATCTGGAAGCGCCCCCTGCACGTGCGCACGTGCAGTAGCACCCTAACCGCAACACATGGGAATGCATTGCCTGGTGGGTGCCTACCTGTATGCCAAGTTTCAGCGAAATCGCCCCAGTAATTACCGAGTTATTGAAATGGGAACAAATTTGACACCTCTTATTGTTGTATTTTGCACGTGCACTGGGGGTCACTCACATAGATCAAGAGTATCCGACCTTTGGGAGAAGGGATGCAGCTACCCTATAAAAATTACCGCAAGACAATCGCTCAAGCCGCTGCTGAGATATGGGCCTCTCAAAATCACTACTTTTGCAAAACTGCTTGAACACCCTTGACTTTTCACGTGGCACGTGCCACGACGGTCACTGAGATGTATCAAAAGTAGTCAATTACGGGGTAGAAGGGATGGGGCTACCCAGCAAAAAAGACCGCAGGGCAATCGGTCCAACGGTTGCTGAGATATAAGCCTCTCAAAAGCGTTACAGGCCGGGCCGGGCCGGGCCGGGCCGGGCCGGGCCGGGCCGGGCCGGGCCGCTCATACTGAGATTTTTCCCTTATATTGAAAAGACTTCGCTTCGCTCGCTGCGCTCGCTCGCTCGTAATAAGTTACATTGCAATACATGTTCGACAGTATGACGTCACCACTGTTCTCATATATGGTTCTAAAACGCACATATGGAAATTATCGGGAAGAAATCACATGTTAAAATTAGTCGACGTTCGATTTTCTCAGGCTCAGTTTTTGCTCGTTTTGCTCGCTAAAACACGTGCTTGTTCGGAAAACATACTTGGAGCCAGCGTCCTTTTGAAAAAAAAAAACGAACTATAGCGACAAACTCCGATTGCACCGAACGGCCTAAGTCAGCTCTCTTATGACGTCATGCAAGGTCTGAAATGTTCAATTAAAGACCCAGCGTTGCAAGAATCATGAAAGATCACGATTCTATGAGCTTGAGATAACATTGGTGCATTTTCACATGTAAAAGATGTCTGCAACCGTGTGTGCTACTGTAGGAGAATGATAACGCGAAAGATATCAGAAATGATGACTTGTTCATGAACGTTCATGAACGTTCACGAAATATCCGTGAACAGAACATCGTTCGCAATCATGTAACCTGGAATGAAGGAATTCGTTAATTATCATATGTATAAACAAACAAGCCAACGCTGTTCACGAACTGTTCACGAACAAATATACAAACACCAAACCCTGTAAAAAGTTGTCATCAATCTGCAAAAAAAACTTTCTGAACCTCCTTTACTTGACGTCGTTATTTCTGGTAAAAGTTCCGAAGTTTAAGTATGCACGCAACTTTGCAGTATGCCCGATCTTCGAGGTTGCTAAGGCTAATCCGCTTTACCTAGTTCGGGCATAATAAGGAATAAGGATACTCCAGTAGAGGTCATAGAGACTTACGGACATAATAGAGCATGAGGTCCTCACAGAGACTCTAGTCAGACCGTGAACTGAAACGTGAGGGCACTGCTGTCCTAATAGATAGGTATAACAGCCATTATCCTGCACCGTAGACAGTGTTTACAATTGCTTCACGTGCAAAGAGAGAAAATTATCAGGGCCCTGTTCATGAAGTCTGCGGTCGCTGCGGCCGGCCGCAGGTTCTAAGCCCCTCCCATTATTGAAACGTCATCACTCACTCGGCCGCAGCAGCGTTCCTATGAACAGCGTCTGCTGCCGAAATAGTTTCCGACAATTGTTTACAACCATAGAAATAAAGACTAGAAGGGACAGCTGCCTCTGCGGCGTACGTGAACTGCGCCGCCATTGAACCACAGTCAAGGACTGTGGTTGTTTACATGGGACCCTATGGCGGAATCGTGTAGTTGGGTGCTTTCGTGCTCTATTACATGAAATTAAAGGGGTGCAGGGAGATTTCGGATAGAGTCCCATGAACAAAATTCATCAGAGAAAACGCTGAAACACATTTTGGGTGAGTGATTGACTGTTTTCTTTGATATTCTGGAGGTTAAATATGAGGAACTCCACGCAGACGTGACTTGTAACAGTTGTGCTATCGATGGGCATGTTATTAGTATCATGTACTGACAGAAACTCAACCTTTGTGTTCTTTACATTCTAGTTTACTTCAAAAATAGTCATTTTATTCATTTATTTAATTATTTTGTGTCACGCTTATTGTCTGAACGACTTGCTCTCAGCTGAGTCTCAAGCAGCTATATTTCTGGCTTTATATGCACCCATGGCTAGAAAGTTTGATGAAATACCAAGTAAATAAAGTTCAAAAGAGCACGTTTTATACTTGAACTGCTCTTAAGTGCTTAAACCTAACTTTGTTATGCCTGCGACTGCCCCTCGCATGACAGTCGTTGATGGTGTTTGTGGTTAATTTATTCAAATAGCTGTGGTTAATTTATTCAAGAAACAATCATTTTGTATCTTTATTTGAAATGCCTCCAGTTTTTTAAGTAAAAAAATATGAATATTACCATATGTATTTCATTTTGTCCCTGAATTCTGGATTTGGACTTGGTGCAATTCATTCAAACCAATCCCTACCTTGACCTACCACCTGCAATGAAAATGATTGCAATATGAAAGTGAGATCTTTGGCTTTTCATGAATGAGTTGTATCTCAATTTATGTCTTTCTCTTTTTCAGTTCTGAAGCTCAGCTCACCAGTGGATGCAAGAAGATGCAAACAAGAAGTTGTATTTTTTGGATTCCACTTCCAGGCATAACTGTCAAGTGTCGAGCAGCCCAGTATTGCCCCATGGGTATATACTGCCTTGGCCCCATGCAGGTATGTGCTGCTCAGTCAGCATGAGTTTATTATTCACATGCTAATGATAAATTAAAAGGAATGTCTGAATGTTGAACAGTGAGTGCAAGCAGCTGTTGCGAATTGCCACTAAATACACATTACCCACATTTATTTTTTATAGAAATAATTATTGTACACTTCCAGCTACCTAATGTCAAATTTGATGTTGTAATTATGTTAGATGTGAAAACATACTTGTTTGTCTTGTCAGTTTGGCTCATATTTAATTCATTTTTATCACAAAAGGACATTTTTACCTCAGGTTCATGCAGTACTGCAGCTTAAATGACTGCTTAATGTGTCATCTGTCCATTCCATGCACACTGCACAGACATTATCTGTTCAAAAAAGTTAAATATCTCTGTTTTGTCTTATCTTTCAGTTTTCCTAAGGATCACCAGGAAAGTAAGGAGTGGCGAGGAAGAGGCTGTTCTACCCTGGTCAGACACACAGCAAAGCTGACACAGCCAGCAGAGCTCTGCAACAGCAATGGGTCTGCTACCACTTGGTTGAAAGCATCCTGGCTTCTGGAACGATAAGACTGGGCTGCAGCAGCAGCTGCAGCTCTGTTGACGCTTTTGGTTGACGAGTGACAGTCTAAGTCGGCCTCGGTTGTCGGCCAAAGGCCGCCGCGGCGCCTAGTGTGGTGATGGCTGCAATGTCTGATGGCGTCTGTGTGAAAGCACATGCTTATAGCAGAGAAGAACTTTGTTTCACACAACGCTGTATGTTAAAAGTGATTTGTTATACGGTGCATTTCTAGATATCTCGGTCAGTGTATTTGATGGTGTATTTTCTCTCGCTGCTTGCCTCGGATTCCGCATCGTTCATTGTGAGCCGTGAGGGGATAGCTAGGTAGCGGCGATTCGCCACTGTGCACATGATTAACAGGGCCAGCGTGTGCTGCATTGTTGGGGTCCGTCTGTTGTTTGGCATTGCATAAATATTTGGTCAGCTCAGCTGTGGCCATTGGTTGGGAAAGCTGGCCTGCAGGGACGATTGCCGGACGGTACGTGGCGGGGCGGTGGTCTGTCGGTTGCTGGGACTGAGTCGAGCCGACTGGGTGCTGCGAGACGCGGACGTAATGTCTACTACAGACCTACACAATGCTTTAAAGGCCAAAAATGTTAATGTAGGCATTTTATGTAAACCTCCGTAAAAATCATTTGACGCAAGGCTGGTTCGTTATAAGACGGCGAAAATCGAGCGGGTTATTTGTGTACTGTATACTTATCCCCTTTCTGAATGATTGTAGCGATTGTAGCGAGAGTCAGTGTCGTCGACTATGCTCGAGGCTGTGAGACACGGTAGCTGGTGTGGTCGATGGAGGGGGGGGGGGGGGGTGGCAGCAGGAGGACGAGACTGAACGGAAGACGTTTGATGTGAAATGCCTTATGCCGTAGTATCAAAGTAGTATCCACTAGTGACTTTGCTTGCTATCGCTGCGCATGGAAATGATGATAAAATTTGAAAACGATTGGTGTTTTTCCCGAGTCGATTGGACGTCTAGAAGCTGAAAAGGGCAAATTAGGTCACGCTGGGTCATGCCTGGTCACAAAGGGTCATGGCAGGTCACTATGAACCCCTCAGGTCACAGTAGGTCAGGTCAGGTCACTTCAGGTCATCATTGGTCATGACAGGTTACTGGGACCCCTTAGGTTACGATAGGTCGGGTCAGGTCACGATGGGTCATGCAAGGTCACAGAGGTCGCCTCAGGTCACGATTGGTCATGTCAGGTCACAGAGGTCATCTCAGTTCACGATATCAATTGTTTGTTCGTTCTTCTCACTTCTATGCGAAAATCCCCACTGACCCATCTAAAATATCATTTTCCCCATTGCCATAACATTAGAAGCCGACACTGCAGTGTCCTCTTAGGAGGGGTCCTGCAAGCTGTCAAGGGCATGTCAGCCACTAAAAACCCTGGCAGAGGTGCACAAATAGCCCAGCCTGTCTCCTACACGGTCTCCGATGGCTCCGGTTTGTCTCACCGATCATCCTTAGGTATATCCCAACATATCTATACTTTCAAGTAAAGCTGGTTATTTACATTACAGTTATTAATAGTTACAGGACGTAAACGCTATTCCTGAAGTGTTTTTATTTCTGAAGCTATCCGCAGATATATCGTCATTTTTTTAAGAAGCCGACAGACATACGGTATGCGCTGATTTGGGCAAAGTGCGAGGCAGGACTTGGTACACCTCCACCTGAAATGCATACTGGTGGTGTATAAATAGACTAGAGTGAGGCGGTCTGGTTGTTGACTGTGTCTGGAAACACTGGAAAGTCAAGAACTACCCTCATAAAACCACCGGGACGCTCAATTAATTCCTCTCATCCAATGAGGGTTCAGTTCCACATGGACCAGACGGGCGTCCATCTGCCGTCCCATAGCGTCCCTCTCCCGTTTAGTGGGGCAGTTACTACTTGGCGGGCTGAAGGTGAAGTGACGTAACGCTGCAGTGTACGGTGCACATAAGTGTTTCTGTTTAGGAAATTGAAACTTTAAGGAGTGTGTAACAAGTTTTTTTCCTGGATCAACATTACTACATTTAGGTAAGAAAACATTATTTGAGGACGATTTTGCAATATTTGCTAATGGGACGAAGCCCATTAAATTGCTATGGAATACCTATCATATTGAGGACCACAAACGTTCAGAAAACGTTTTGACTGTAGGCTTTAAGAAGCGGCTTTAAATCCTTTTATAATCCATCGCTGACTACATCTATACTGCAATCTATACACATTTCACGTGCATCGCTAATCTCTTCGCTAATACAGATCCTGGTCTATTTTTTCTTGCTTAGCAAACCTCAGCTGTCTTGTAAAATTTTCACGACGCATTCATACATTACAGTTTAGAGGCAGATAAATCCGATATTCCTGTTTTCTGCGTGGCTCTGTGAGGTCGGTCCCTGCCATGGATGGTGTGAGACCATCCATGCTGCCGATCGTTCGACGCGCTAGTTTTATTGGGGGTTATATGACCGAAGGACATCGACGGCCGACGGAACTGCCTCGCCTGGCGGGGTCACCAATGTGGAACACGCTGCCGGTTTTTCCGAAGTAAAACTGGAGATTTGCTAGACAAAGTTAGACTAAGTGAATTAATGTACTTAGCCATATGAAAGCAAATGTTTGACATTTTGTCGGCCATTTTGTCGCTGCTGGAGACAACTGCCGGAAAACTAACTGCATTCCCGCAACATCCAATTACTCATCGATACGTATCAAATGAAGCAGGGCAGATTACCATCTTATTTTTCTTAGGATGTCGGAATATACCTAACAACATGTTAAGATACCAAAAAGGTGCAATATCCTTGTTTATAACACAGCCTTTGTTCCGAGTCTGTGCCTTTGGATGGATCTCATGTGCTTAAAATCTTTAGAAAAATGCACTAAGTATCCATTTGAATTATTACTTATGCCAGCATGAATGGTAGAAGAATAATCAATTGTAATTTGTTGTCAAGTCTAGATGTGTTTTCTCCATTGTCAATGACTGATTTCTTCTTGCTGAGTAATGTTTTGCAACCTATTAATTTCTATGCCAATGGTGGCTCAAATATTGCTGTTATAGCTATGCAATGTGTAATCTTATATTGTTTAAATAAAGTTAGGCAAATTCAACTGAAATCATGACTGTACCTAATATTTGAAATATGTCATCTGATTGACCTTCATCATACCAACATATAGCCTGGGCCAGTCTGCAAAACGTGGCAGGGTTCGACGAGATCTCGTCGGGCAGACACAGTGGGGCGGGGGCAGATATCGGGGCAGCTTTTGAGAAATCGGGGCAGAGTTCGGCAATTCCGGGGCAGACCGTTTGCAGTCGGGGCGGACCGGGGCGGGGTGCACGCTACCGGTGGAAAATAATAAAGAAGCAGAGTATTGTTGAAACGCGCGAGAAAAAGTGAGCTGCGCCACAAACGTCGCTGAAGCGTAGAAATTGTCATTTGTAACTGTTACCATATTCGAGTTTTCCCTTCATCGGGGCTATGAATGTTTTACGCGCCGTGTTTCGTATTAGCAACCAAGGAAAGGCGCTACCCGCAGATACCTACTCCTTTCTAGCCTCACCAAACCAAATCAAACCAAACCAAACCGAACCAGACCAAACCTGACCTAATCGAACACTCGTAAATGTGCTGTATAGCCCTCACGATGATTGCCGTCCCCGTCCGGCTAAATGATATCCACATTTCCACTTAGAAACGAACGCGTGCTAAAACGCTTAACTGACCGGCTGCGAACCCGCGACCTACAGATTAACCCTCGCCGGCCGAGGGGGGGGGGGGCGGGTGCCGCCCCCCCATAGGGTTTTTTCGCGATAGCTCCGAACACGCTGGCGATAGAGAGCTGAAACTTGGCATACCTGAACTTTGATCCAAGCCGCATCTTTTGACACCAACCGCATTTTTGGGTCAGGTCAGGTCACTGACCTATGACGTCATAAGTGAACCTCTGCACGGTCTTCAGATGTCGCAACTTCGCAGCGCCCTCACTGCCAGAGGAGATGTCACAGGGAAATGAAACTTGCAGGATCTAGTATCCATTATGAGTCCCACAACTTGTATATCTCGGATTTTTCCTAAAGGTCATATGAGGTCAGGTCATTTTCGTGACCTCACCATTATAAGTCAATGGGGAAAAATTCAAACTGCTATTCTGGCGCCGGGAACGATCTCCAACTATCTCAAGCACACAGAATCGTGATTTGATGCACTCCTTGCAAGGTTAGATGCGTCACTTTTGCAATGTTGACCTTCCGTGACGTCATTTATGACGTCATCAAGGTCATATTAGTTTTTCGTCAATAACTCCCGATCAAATTGAGCTAGCGAGTCGGGAAAGCCACCAATGGACTCAGGAAGACCTGCCGAATCGAATGCTATGCGACATGACCTCTTTCGACCAGCTTCGTGACCTGGGGGTGCTGACCTGACCTTGACCTGAGGTCAACACCCCAAGTTGACCTGACCAGGACAAAAAGTATATCATTCGACGCGCCTGATCAAGGCGAACACGATGCTGCCAAAATTGCGGCTCTGCGGCCGTTTTTTGCGAAGTTATTCACCAAAAACTGAACCGTACCCTGGGGCACTTGACCTGACCTCAGAGGTCACCGGTTGACCTAGGACCTTAAAATCGGGTACCAATCTCTGCGTCTCGTAACGGCGCACACGCTCGTTTTTTTCCGCGACGCGCTAGCTCCACCAGGGGCGAAACGGCGAGGGGGGGGTCGTACCCGCCCCCCCCCCCCCCTCGGCCGGCGCGTATGTAGAAAACCAATAGGTCCGGCGAGGGTTAACCCGCGCCCGGCTGGGGGTCCTGGATTTCCACGCCCTGCTGGGGGGGGGGTGTTTGAACACCCCCCCTTGTAACTCGGCTCCTGGGCCACGTAGCGATACGCGGAAGGCGGCGTTCGAAAGAGCGTCAAAAATAATGACGAAATCACTTCGGTCAATTTTTTGGTCAGGTCAAAGGTCAGGTCACCAGAGGTCATTGAAGGCAAAATTTCGCCGATTTCCAGGTCGAATGTCGAAAATTTCCAAGAAGCCAATGCATAACTCGAGAACCAATAGAGTTACAGCGCCGCGGAAAAGAGCATTCGATAGCCCTATTAAAGCCCTTTCTGAATAATTCTCTCAGATTTGACCTAACGTCAACGGTTTTGCCTGCAGGGGGCAAAAATTGCAAAAATAGCCGATTTTTTCGGAAACAGTTTTTCTGCAATAACTATTGACTCAAGCCTTGTACGAGCTTACTTTTACCGGCATTGTGTTCCTCTCGTCAAGACGCATCGAATGAACTATAAGTTGACCTTGAAAGGTCAACTTGAAAATTTGACCTCAGGTCAAGGTCATGACCTGACCGGAAAGGGTCATGTTGCATATCAGTCGATCCGTATCGTCAAGCTGAACACATCTAAGGCGTTTTCATCGCTCTAGCATGCCTCTATCAAAAGTTATTTGCGAAAAACTGTTAGATACCATTCGTGACCTAAGATGACCTCAGGGCATAAACAAGGGTCACTGACACCATTTTCATGTTCAGTGTGTCTGAACCACTTGTAATTCGGTGTTTGGGAGTGTTTATAATGTCTTTTGTCCAAAAGAGGCGCATTTCAATTTTCTCCCATTGACTTATAATGGGGAGGTCGCAAAATTGACCTGACCTTAGGTCATCGATATCAAAATTCTGAGATATACATTTTGTACATGCTATTGCTCTTAGCAATCGCTGAAAGTTTCAAAGCGATCGGTCACTCGGTGTAGCTATGACAGACATTGAAACTTTTTATGAGGTGATGTCACTTCAAGTGACCTGGTGACCTGACCTTGAATGACCTTGGTCTGAAATTTTCACAACATGTGTAGAATTGATGTACAATAAGGTGTACCAAAAACGGCGGCGCTCCGCGCCGCCGTTTTTGAGATATTCGCGAAAAACCACAAGGGGGG